TAACTGAATTTACCTCTTTATATTTTATATAAATTAGTTTTTGTTTTTTTTATCTTTTTTATTAATTTCTGCGGATTGTGAATCCAACTTCAGCCGGTTTAACATTAAGATGTGGGTCAGCTCATCAGATTCCCCTTCCCTCCCCCGCCTACACCTACGTTCATGATATCATATCCCATATAGATTCTTGTAACTCTGTCGTATTCTTTCATTTCCCTCTCTCTGTCCTCTTTAACCATCACCAATTTTGCACTAATTTATGTCTTCGTAATTACCTCCCACTTTTTTCCACATTTGTTCTTTCTTTCTTTCTTTCTTTCTTTCTTTCTTTCTTTCTTTCTTTCCCAAGCTAGCCAGCCTTCTTCAACGAGATGACATCATAAAGAGTTTGAAAAAATTTTCGGGTGAAAATGATCATTCACCAATGATAACTTAATTCTAAATGTAATAAGATCATTTTCTCTGCCTAATGAAAAACTTTGAGCGCTTTTTGTAAGTAAGTTTTCACATTTAATATTTAAAATTCTATATTTTGTTAACAGACCTCGCTTGAATATGCCAACGGATTCCTACCCATGTATATATATATATATATATATATATATATATATATATATATATATATATATATATATACTCTATTTAAAATAAACGGGATTTTATTTTATTTTTAAAATAAATGGGTATTAGTGTTTTTCATTCTATATTTAAAATAAACGCGGATTAATGGTACTTTTTGATATATTAAAATAGACGGACGTAAAAATTAAAAAACAATAATATTTTTCTTTTAATTTTAAATTACATTTTAAACAAGAAGAAATTAACAAAATCATATTATATTTATATGTGTGTGTGTGTGTGTGTGAATTATTTTATAGATATATAAATATATAAATACGTTTGTTTTTGTGTGTGCGTGTGATCAGGTATATGTATTACTTACTGACATTTTTTTTATTTCTTGGTAAAATTCCTAATTTTCAATTAACTTAATATTTTTCTCATCATATCAACTCCGAAGATGACCTTGGATGAGACTGAAATTACTGTGGAAAATAAAAGAAATTGAAAAAAACTACGGTGCCTTCCTTAATCTTCGTTAAGAAATCGATCCGAGAATTTTGAGAGGATTAAAATAAGAATAAATAAACATATGTCAAGATTATTCAACCAAACACACGCACGCACACACACAAACAAACACAGACGCACGCACGCACACGCACGCACACACACACACACACACACACACACACACACACACATATATATATATATATATATATATATATATATACACATACACACACACGCACAACGGAGAAATGCTCGAGTCACTACTCAAGTTTCACGCTCTGCGGGCCTTCAGATCCGAGAGCATGACATTTGGGTAGTCTCGAGCAACACTCCTTTGAGTATTGACGTTGTGTTAGCGGTTTTTGATCTGCCCCTGAACAGAGTGTGTTTGTGTTTTCATATGCTGTCAAAGATACAATAGGTAGTTTTCAAAGATATAATCTATATTTTACACCTTTCCCTCCCTTTTCATTCAAATTCATAAAGGAAATAACATACTGTGACACCATTTAGGGTTGCTGGAAGGAGAGAAGAAAAAGTAAAGAAAAAAAAGAGAGGCGAGAATTGAAATTAGGTGATAAGAAACCATCACGAAAAGGACACTAAGCGGTGTTATTTTCCTGACAAGGAAAAGTGGTAATATTTTTATTTCCCATTGTCGAGAAGGTTAAAAAAGAAGATACTGGAATTAATCTGATTTAGGTTACGGGGCGGGTGGAAATTCCAGGTTGGCCAAATAACCTCAGAGACAGAATTCTAAATAGATAAACATTTAACAGTGTCGCAGGAATGCCCGTTTGAGACCTCCCACAGAATTCTAAAGAGATAAAAATTTAATAGGTCATCCGCTGACCGAGATGCAAAAATGTCCGTTGACCACACAAGGGTTGCCAAAACAAAGGACCAAACCATTGCTTATCTAAGGGAAGTCGTTTGTAAAAGGCATCTGTTGTGTGTTGAAATTCGGCTATGACAGCGAAACTATTTTATCAGATCAGAAATTGGCACCAAGAATGAAAATACGTTTAATGGACCACCCACTTGATAATTGGCGAAAATTTCGTTGATGACTTCCATATGAATTCGGCTGTGAATTGGCGAAATTTTTTTACCGGATCAGTGGTTGGCGTCAGGAGAGTGAGTATGTCTGGTTGACCACCCACTTGTTAATTGGCGAAAATCTCATTGACGAATTCCAGGTAATTCGGTTTAAAGATAAAAAAGTCTAGGGTGAGAGTTTCCTCGAAGAGAAGAAAGAAAAAGAAAAGTGAAAAAGAAAAAAGAAAAAAGAAGATAAAATTCCTTTTTCTTTGAGCAAGATTTTTTAAACCAAGGCTAGTCTAGACACACCCACGCTGCTGAGCGCCCATTGGCTGAGTGGTGGCAGGAGTATTGGCGGAGGTGATCATGTGAGGCAGGTGGGGAGGCCTGCTGGCACCCATTGAGTGGATAGGTGTGAGATGCCACTGTGAGAGAGAGGGGAAACCCGTTGACACCCTCTGAAGGCATGGTAAGATACCAATATGAGAATAAAAGGGGGTGGGGGACGAAGAGACTTCCAAAAATGGAAATTAATAAAATTTTCCTGACCGAAAACAAAGAAGTGGATTGTGGGTTTGGAATTATCAAGGAACCTCAAACCCCGACAAGCCTACCCCGGTTTTGGTCGGCGTCCATATAAGCAAAGTCGCAGCGAGCGAAAATCACTTGGAGTTCGAGAGTTGTTCAGTTCCAGTTCCAGTTAAGTTCCAGTTAGTTGCAGTGAGCTGAGAGCTCTGAAGACACGCCTCGCAGAGCTGACTAATCTTCACACAAATTCCGACTCATCTTCTAACCAAGAACAATTTATTTTTGAAGAACGACTTAGACTCACACCACCAAAACAAGTTTTACGAATTTCGCCTGAAGACACACCAAGAACCAGTTTCTTAAAAGAACAAACAACTTGAGATGTTAAGACTCGCCTAACAAACACAAAGTGTCACGAATCCATATAGCGGGTTTGGGAAGAAAACTCAGTCCTGTACTCAGAAACCAGATATAAAGTATTGTTATCCTTTTTTAACACATTTGAACTTTTATTTTATTTTTTCTTTTGCATATACTTGTGCGATATCACCCTTATTCGAACTCAGCTTGCATTACGGCCCCGACGACTGATTCATTTCGTCTGCCTAAGATCAATTCGCAAAGTGGGTAGGCTAGACTGGAAGTTAAAGCAGTTATTTCGGTAACCAGACGTTGGAAGCAAGCTGGGAACGTCGAGGCTGATACCGAATCTAACCAGATTCCCATCCGAATCACCAAAAGGTTAGAACGTCACATTTGGTGCCGCGACCAATACCAAGCCAGTTAGTCGTCACAAGACAGGATAGCACGACTGACGCAGACAGGCGGACGTCACGTTTGGAGCGGCGACACCGGGGGGACGTCACAATACTAGTGAACGAACTATCATAGAATACACAATACACAACGATATTTAATGTACGCTCAATAAAATTCCACTTTTGCCCGTAAAAAATTAGTTCTTTTTTTTTAGATCTACAGTATTTTAGCGTGTTCGCACAAGACATGGATGTTTGGAGTGGACTGATAAGATATATTAGCAAAGTTGCTGAAAATGAAAAATGCCCCTCATTTGCAGTTTGCATTGAAGTCAAAATGGCTCAGTTGAGGATTTGAAAGAGACACATTTATCTGGCTTTCTGTCATGTATTTTGGAAAGTCGTTCTTAACTAGCTTTTGTTTTCTGCTCTTAAGTTCTTTAAGGAATATTTGGCGCACAGATAAGAACCCGTGCTTAGTATCTTCTTTATTATCCCTAATTTATATCTAGACATACGCTCGTATCAATGAGATGTTAGTTTTTTGTTTTTGGTTTTATTTTTGTTTTGTTTGCTTTTTGTTTTGTTTTTCTTGAGGGTTTTTGTATTGTGAAGTGGTCGCCGTATAGTTATTGGATTCTAAAAGAACGTCTAGGAAAGGATTATATTTGTTTTTGCAAACTTCGTAAGTACATTGTCAAATATAGGTTTTTCAAATGTAGGTTTACAAACAACTATCCCTTCCTGTTCTTGGTAGATAAAAGGAAAATATCATTTACATATGTAGCATCAATTTGGGTTTTTGACTGTTTTTTGAAATGTCATTTTCAAACATGTCATATAATAATTGCAGAAAGTTGTTCCAAGGCGGGTGATGCTATCCATTCCATCTCCGTTACCATTTAGAACGTAGATGAGGAGCCTTCATTTCGCATGTACTTAGCATTTATTTTTCTTCATTTTTAGAATATTAGCTTTATATATATATATATATATATATATATATATATATATATGACAAGCTAATTCTAAAAACAATGATCAACTGCGTAAATGCGTAGATCTTCAGGAAAATGAATGTAGCACTTTTGCTGCTTGGCGTTTGTTTACGTTTGTAAAAACAACACGCTAGATTTGGCTAATCCTTTTGTCGTATGAAGATGGCTCAGTGGTAGAAGCTCTGACTAGCACCAAATCTGTTAATTTTCGATCCGGGTTTGAGGCATTTGGCTGTCGCACTGAGTAGACGAAAAACGGTAGTCTACTAATGACAAATATATAGTTTTGGTCAAATGTTAAACTGCAACTAGCAGAAGATAATATTTTTCTATCGTAAAAACAGTACATCATTTACTTTTAGCTAATGTATGCAAACTGCAGTTTAATCAATACTACAACTACTGCAAGTTTGAAAATGTTACAAAGAGTTTTGACTAATTTATAGGCTGTGAAATTCTTCTAATGTCTAGAATTTATATGTTTAAAACGGTATAAAATCGTTACTTTACGACATATATAGAACACAGTTAGTAACCTTCACTCAGCGCTGTGATCATAACACAAACTAACAGACCAAATGCGCTGTAGAAATACTGATATCGCAGTGTTAACACCAATAGCAATGATGACCAAAGACAAGTTGATATCACATAAAGAAAAAATATTAGATATTATCATATCATCAACTCCATCATTCGATAAACCCTAACATATTAAAGCAAAGACTTCGCGATGCTTTGCTTATAATGAGTAGAGATGTGAGTCGTAGAACATTTTCTAGCAGAGTGGTCATTGAATGTTAACTTAGACCCTTGTAGACCTGCCTGAAACCTTGAAAAGCAAGCGCCTCACAATGCATGGCAATTTGACAGAGGCACAATGGATAAAAATAATGTTATTTGATAATTCCACACTGAAGCAGTTTGTTTGTTATGAAACAACATTAGGCCAGAAGACCTCCGGGAAAGAGACATGATAGATGGAATAGCCTGTCAACAGCACTGATTTAAATCGACTAGAAAGGTTTCGATATTACCTGAAGAATAATATTGCAGAGAAAGAAGTAATGTTCTTATTGACGTTATCGAGCACGTTACCGGCAGAATATTTCCAATGATTCATAACCAGAAACCTAATCGTATCGAAATGATTATGAAGGCTAAGGTTAACCACAAATAGCACTTGTTTATATCGAAATTGATTGAAATTTATCTGATTTTAATAAAGAAGATGGTTTATGCAAATGAGGTTTTGTTTCGTTATTGTTATCAAATGTTGGGCGGTATTCAAATGTGAGCCACGACTGTATATATGAAAGCTGGATTTTCTGAAAATTAAGCTGCAAACATTTACATCTTTCTTATTATATGATTGTTTTTCAAATTTTATTTTGAATGTATATCCACACAAGAACACATGTACAAGGTGTGATGGATACTTTTTTGTGCAAATGACGTAAAAATAAAAATAACATTGACATCTCGCTTAACAGAAATATTTAACAAAATTATATAAAAATAGCTTGAAATACTAAATATTAATTTATTTAATAAAATCGCCATTGACATCAACCACGGCTTCCAGACGACTTCGGAATCTCCTGTATCTCTTCTGGACGGTCTCCTTGTTTAAGTTGGTGAATGATGTCATAATCATTGCCGTCAGTTCATCTTTGGGGTTACAAAGAGATTTGTTGGTCTCACTCAACAACGCCCTCTACATAATAATGAATAGGGTTGCAGTCTGAGAAGTTAATCTTTTCATTTTGTTTGACTTGTGATGATTTGGACACAATTTAGAATAGTGTTTTGGATCGTTGTTATGTTAAAACTTGATTTGTTTCCAACTATGCATAAAGCAGATGGTATAGAATGTGTTTGCAAAGTCGATAAATATCGTTCTTTATTAATCATCCCCCAGACATGGAGCAAATCTTCAAGAATATCTCCTTCAAACAACTCCACACCAGAACAAAGCCACCAACATTCTAAACTACTGGAACAATACATTCGTGATTCTGCCATTCTCCGGGCTTTTGTCACACATACAGTCTCCACTTACTATCAAAAGGTTCAAATTTGAGTTCGTCTGGTCACAACAGATTTTGCCACTATTTAAATGTCGAGTTCACATGTTTTTTTTTAATATAACCACCTTTTCTGCTTATTTATTGTTGGATTTGCAGCACGAGCACCGATTATGCAAGTCGATATTTTACAGTCGAGATCTCACTGGTTTCTGTCAATTTAGGAACCATTTTAATTTCTATTTATTATGCTCTCGTTAATCAAGTGCATATTTTCTGCAGCAGTTGTAATTTTATTGATCCAGTTATTTTTATATCAACATTTTCGCCAGTCTCTAACTGTTTTGCAGCGAATATTGCACCTCATCTCTAGAAATATTCAACTTCTTGGCTATTCATCTATGAGGGATAATTCTTTGAATAAAATTTCAATTTGTGTCATCATCTCAATTCTTAGGTACTTTGTCATTTTGTGCAAATTAATTCAAAATTAAAGAAAGAATTTACAAAACTATGAACATGCTTTCGAAATGGCACAACCTTTTTTTTTCGAACAGAAACAAATTAGTCAGAACACAAATTTGAAAAAAAAACATTTATCTTTGTTATACAATTTTGGTAATCTCAAAAACGGTTAACGATGAAAAGAAAAGATTTATGTTTTTCATAGAAAATATTCATAATTTAGTAAACTATATTGTGGACATTCAAATCCAAATATGAACGTTTTTGCAGTAAAAGAAGCATGGAGAAGGACGGAAAAATGAAAGCAAATGTACTCTGTCAACGGAAATTTTATCAATTATTTAAAAAAAAATAAAGTTTTTTTTTTTTTTAAGAAATGCAGCATATGGCTCCATACATTTGCCGGTATTTTATTGAATCACATATGCCTAATATTAAATTTTATACAACTTCCATTACTATAGACCAGCATATTTCGCTATCTCCCTGGTTGCTCTTCGGCTGTGGATCTTAACTTCTGGTAGGAATGCAAGAACATTTGAACCTTTTGATAATAAGTGGAGACTGTATGCTTTCAATAACTAAAAAGCAGGTTTCATCATCACAGAGCAGGCGTTGCATTTTCTCCAGTCAGGAAGAGCGGTTTTATGTCAATGAATGTCTTGCTTTAAAATTATCTTGAAACTCACATTCACCCTAAGTTTAAGTGGAACTCATAGAATATATCACTAAACATGCAGAAACACTGGTACCCTTCCAGAAGATGACCATTCCAGTCATGCGGTATCTTTAGCGTTGATTTAGATCTGACCAAAACTGAAAATTGCTGCCATATCTGTGTTTGGAAGAGTAAGAATCACATAAATTTGGGTTTAGCATATTTGTAACCCTATTCCTCTTTCCCACAGAGGCCACTTCAAAAGCTTATCGCTTATCTATCGTTATTTCCCCGGCAAATGTTCAGACGAACTCCTACGTCGAGTCAAATCGCTCTATATTCCCTTCGATATTCTTTTGTAAGAAGGAAGGTAAACTAGTTTATTTATTCAAAGAACCATTTATTTGGGAAACCACCTGCCTCCTAGGTGCTACTTGTAACACTTGTATCTTAACATCTTCAAATCAAAGTTACATCTTTATCTAATGTCAACTTTCTCATAAGATTCATTTCCTTCTTGCTTCTTTTACGTGAATACCACACACCTGAATCAGTAACCTTTTACTTTGTGTAGCACTTGGATCTTGTATCGGAAGAATCTTAGTAAAAATATAGCCACTCATTGAAGACGGTGAAACTACAGTACGTTGTGAAGTAATTGGGACTGTGACTTCAATAAAATAGAGAAATGACATATTTTCAAATTATGTCTATTTTCTCCAAGATTCACATAACTGTTCTAAGATATCAGATTATCAGTATTTCATATTTCCACCTTTAATTTTAATGAGCATTTGTACACGTTTTAACATAGATTTGGCCAGCTACAGACATGTTACCCAATTTTTCATTGTGATACTATATCTAAGTGACTGCACAGATTAGGATTCCGTAGTAGTAAACTCGTGTTCCATCATTCGTTGCTTCGCAATACTCCACAAATTTTCAGTGGGGTTCAGGTCAGGGGAATTCCTGACCAGTACAACACCTTTACACCCTAATTTTGAAAAGAATTTCTGCACTTTTTTCGATGTGTAGAATGTGGCATTATCTTGACTTTCTCCACCTTGGTAATATTCTTCTATTGTTGGGAGCATATAGACTTTCCAAGAATCTACGTATTTTGTGATATTATTACCCCCTTATTTATTCTTAATCTATCTAACCTATTTGCGCTAAAACTGCCTCACAATATTTTCTAGGGAGCGTGTTTTGGATTTTTCTCAATATGGCCATTTCTTATGCGTTCAACTTTGCTTCTCCGCACAAAGTGGGATCGATGTCCTCTCACTTCAAGGGCCATTTCAACCGAGAACAAAACTTTTTCTCAATCTTCCATCTTGCTGCTCCTTTATTCTTTATGTCAAAAAGCATTTTTATGTAGTTTTCTGGCTGGTCACTCCATTTCAAATGGCTGTGTCCTGACAATTGAGTCGTCAGACACGGACATATTAGATTCACTAAATCTGCTGCCAGGTATTTGCTGCTCTTCTTCGAGTATGTAATTTCTTTGGTCGTTTTTATATTTTCTTCCACAACTTCTCTTTCTCAAAACATTATTGTAAGCCAATACTGCCTGCCTTTTCACTATGCGTCTAACACCGGACTTGCTTGTATTGGGAAATTTGTCCCACAGATTTGTTTAAATGTTCATCGAGTACAAGTTATTTTTTATTTTAGCTGTTGAAAGAAAATAATCAGGTTAGTTTTGAAATCAGAAGCAGTAACCGAAAAAAAATCTGATTTACATGCAAAACCATGTAAATCACACAATTCTTAAGCAAATGCAAAATTTTATCACAAATAAATTCTAAAGTATTCAAAATTGTTTCAGAAATTTTCTATTGTAACAGGAATGTGCACGGTAATGGCTTCATTGTGATTGGGATTCATTATCCTATTGTGACGCTGTCCAAAGTTGGTTTAAAAGAACAATATTTTAAACTGAAGTCACTGCCTCAATTAATTCACACAGTACTGCAAATCCATACGAGCGACTGGTTACACGTTTCTTTTTTTAATTAGGTTTATATGATTTCTTATTTGTTTTTTGTTTATTTTCATTATGCAGATGACACTGCTTTGAAGGCAAACAGAGACAAGAACTTTTGAAGCTCTTTGACAAGGTAGCAAAAATAAATCGAGAAGAAAAGACGAAGTATCAACAGCGAAAGAAAAAAAGGTGCGAACTACAAATTGGAAATGGCATCATTGAAAAATTACAGAAGTGTAACGTAATGGAAGAATGTTTTAACAGACGATGGGATATGTGACACCGAAAGCCGAAGGCGCATTCGCATAAAAAAAAGACACTTTCGAAAATCTAAGCAAAGTACGAAGAAATGGAAAAGTTCTATAGAAGCAAAGGAAAGAGTGTTGAAATGTTGCATAATTTCAATCCTCTTGTATGATATTGAATGCTCCATAACCTCCTCACAGCTCTTGAGATAACTGAAGGCAACAGAAACGTTGCTTTTACAATAAGACGCTAAACATTCTATAGATGGGGAGATTAAGGAACTAAGAATTCTTAAGAGAAACGAAAAGAAATGAATG